TGCTCATTTTTTGATCAAGTAAATCAATCGATTTGTTGTGGTTTAAGTTTTGATCCTTTACTTTCATTTCATTTCTCTGTATAAAGATGTCAAATGGGAAACAATTTTCACGATAAATCATTATTATTGATAAATGTTTTATAAAGAGCAAATAAAAGCGATTAACTTTATGAGATCAATTGTATCACAGACAATCGAGAAAGAAAAGTTTGATTTTAATTAAATTGTCTGGAAGCGATAATCTGATCAAAAGATTTACCACCATTGCAAGATGTAAAAGTTCAACTAGAGTCACCCTGAAATCAGGTCAACAAAGTTAAATTGAAACAGATGACCTGAAAAAGAAATCTTTCATCAACCAAATTCCAACATTTCTATCATAACAACCAATTTTATTTAAAGTTGATGAAAATTTCACCGAACCAAAGAAACAAAAGTCTAAATTGAAATCTAAAACGCAACATTTTTCTTGTCCAATTTGGGAGTTTAAATGGTTCCAAGTATTGAATGTCAAGCTGAAGGAACGAAAATTTTCAGATGAAATTTGATTCCAAACGAAAACTAATCAGACTGAAAGGATGAACATAAAGTCAACTTGAAGTTATAATGAAATGAAAAATGGTGAAATGAAATGGAATTGAATTTCAACATTTGACGATAAATTTTCATTTTATATTGAACATTGACAAGTGAACTTTGACAGTTGATAAGCAAGTGTTCATTTTGATCAACCTTAATTATTGTTAATTTTTTCCATTTGACACTTTTCATGAAGGAATTTTGGTACAAAATTTGCAAAGTAAATGAAAGTTTAATGATGCAAGAAAATGGAATCAAGATGAGGATGCGAAAAGAGAAAAAAGAAGAGATAAAGTTAGCTGTGATGATGAATTTTCTTCTAATCTAAAGGTATTTCATTGTTGTTCAATTCACCCTGGAATCTGTTGCTGAACGAAAAGAAAAGAAGGAAAATCTAAATGAATCAACATTAATCGTGTTATCATTTTGATCAAGAGTTTCATGTTGTACAAGCTCGTCAGTCTCAACTGTTTTCACAACATTTTTTATTCACTTTAACAACTTTTATCATTTCATCATGCAATTTGAGATGAAATTTAATTGAATTGAGAGACGCAAAAAGGTAAAACATTTATTAGTTTCAATCGTTTTATCGTTCATTAAATGAAGGGCATAAAATTTTGATGCAAAAAGATGCAAAGGAAAAAAATATTAGACAATGATAAAGCATGATTAAACACGAAAAAAAGTAAATTTCAAGAAGCACATGAAAAGATATTGTTATGATGATGATACTTTTGGACTCACTTAACTTGGAAAGGCTTATTATCTTCATCTTTTTTTGTGCTTTTCACAAAAATAAGTTCAACTTGGGATGGAAAAGTGAATAAGAAAATCGATTTTTTTCCCTGTGCTTCTTCATTCCCTTTATTTCACTTGCTTTGTTGTCTTTACCATTTTATTTCGTTTTTTTTGTTGCTTCTGTTCCCTTTCATTTTGCTCAGATCAAAATATAAATTTGTTTCACTTTGTTTCATTTTAATGCAACCAAATGCTCATCAATTTCAAGGTAATTGTCTGTTTCTTGGTGTCTCAGCTTTCAACTGGAAAATGAAACATTTTTTTCCTTCTTGTCTTTGAGTTTGAATTTTAAATTTTTTCTCTCTTTGAATCAATAGTCTGGTAAATTGTTTCAATCGAACCGATAAACTGTGAAAAACAAATTGGAAATCATGGAAAACAAATGAGCATTCTTAAACTCATGGCCAATCAATTATAACCTTTAATACAAAGGTTGATATTTTTCCCTCCCAGCTTTGAACAGGGTAGGGAAAAATGCAGAACCCGTACTTTGTAACATTGTTTGGGAAAAAAACTTTTTGGTTATTTAGGTTGAAGGTTTATGGTTGGAATATACAATACAGTCAACATAATACCGAATCCAAATTTCGTATTATTGTTGCAAAGCGTTGCGTTAAAGAAGAAGTCAATGTATTGTTGTATTGGGAGTATGTGAAATTAAACTTGAACCCAAATCAAGCTATATTTTGCAATTCTGGATTATTATCGCATTCATTGCAAGCACTTGATTAGAAACATTATTCCAAAAATTATTAAAATTATTCCATTCTTTGGCCTGTTTCTGCTTTAAACATCGTTTATTCACATTCAAATAGTAATTGATTTCATAGTTAAGTGTTTAATTTGTTTTCACTACAACTTGATTTGACTTTTGACTTTGAGATTCATGGAAAACCAACAACAACAATCATGCCCATCAGGTAATTTAATCAGGATTTGATCTGTCTGATTACAGGCAGTGCATGACAAAGCGCAATGCAAGCAATGCGTAATCAATGTGAAACCCTAGGAACATATCGCTGTTTACCTATCCATTATGAACAAATGTTTTAAAACCAGGATTATGATTAAAGATTCTCGAATTTCTCGATGTGTTACGGAATGATTCTGTCCTTAATCATGAAAAACTAATTGACAAACCTGTTAGCATATCGCTTTCCAAGTAAAAATTTCATTTTCAATATTTTCCACATTTCCTTGTAACCAATACTACTTGTGAGCTCTAACGTGTTGCTCTTAAAAACTATTGTACCTGGGTTTTCAGGTAACTATCAACCAATTCAAAATTTTTGCAACCTCAGAAAATGACCTCTAATGGCAAAATATTCGTTATGCTCGTTCAGCTGTCTATTAGAAGTCAAATAACGGATTGACCTTGAATGACCTTGAGGGTTCGAACTTATGATTATTCAATTTTAAGAAGCCATGGTTCATGGCTCGTGATCTGTAGCGTTAACTGTTCGTGAGTTATGGCTTTAAACTGTCATAAAATGAAAAAACACCCATTACATTGTAAATGCACTGAAATAAATACACCAATAACAGAGTGTTCCTTGGCCAAGTTAGATTCGAAGAGGCTGCATTACTGCTAGCATACAAAGCTGGTGCTGATATCGTAATGAGGGAAAATGATTTTGATAGACGACTTTCATGAACACACTGACTTCATATCTATGTTCAAATCAACTAAATAAAACAATTGAAAGAAAAAATTAAATTAAATTGGATTAGAAGAAAATTATGATTAGCCTCAAGCAAAAAACGCACGTTGATCGTGGTTGCCATCATCAGAAAATAGCATGACGCTCATTCTGCCTACGGAAAGCTTCACGTGAGCAGTTATTTCGCATCCCCAAGCAAAGACGACAAAGAGGCCATAACTTTACCATCAAATTTTAAAATGTAACACCAGTAGGTATTGAGCTCGAATTTAGCGTTGCACATATTACACCTAATCACCACTCTTCGATACATAAAATCAATTATCGAAAAAGGGAAACTAGCAGTTGCAAAATCTGTTATTCTGTTGTCTTCTTTTCAATGCAATCCAATCATGAATAAAAAAATATCGTAAACCGAAAATGTTTGCCTCTTTTTCAGCAAAAAAAGTCCAATTTGCTTTCAATGTTTATCAAAATGAAATCTCCATGAAATCTAACCACATGGTTCTGTGGGCTATAAATTTTGTGGAATCATGGACGACCAGTTTTGCGATTTAGGAACCAAAAAAATATTCTAATCATGACTCGATTGCAAATTAAATTGTGTTCATTCTTTCCTTTTCCATCAGATGTTTACTATCAAAATTATCATGATAGGGTATTGGAATGAAAATGATATTTCCTATTGAACCAGAATTGGCCGCAAGCTATAAAATGTATTCTATAAGTTTAATACTTGATAAATAATAATCGAAATGACACTTGATTGTGAGTCACTTTAATAACAAATTAATGTTGCCATAATAATAAGTTGAGCATACAAAAGTTGAACAAAAAGAGATAATTTTGCAAACATGAAATAATAATCTTAAACAGTAAAGTGAACTTTGATAATAACAATATCAATAGCCGTGAGCAATTCATTTAATCACAAGTTTCTTTCACCAATACAATTTGTTCATTCTCCTGGAAACGTTTAATGATGATAACTGTCTGTTAAATAATGAAACGATTCAATTTCAATATCAAGATGAAAGAGCAAAATGATTTATTTCACTCGAAAAGCAAAAAAATTGAAAATTCAAAAAATCTCCAAATGTTGATCAATTGAATCCTACACCAGTTTAAAGCTCATGTCAAACATGACATAATCTTGTTTGCAATCAATTGGCAAAGTGTCTCTCGACTGACCAGGGAATGAGTAAAATGTGATAACATGATGAAACAAAAGTGTAATAACAGGGAATGAGAATTAATAGCAATTTCTTTTTTTCTCGTTTCTCTTTATCTCTTTTCTTTTGCTTACCAATTGCATTATTTTTTCATGCCTGATAATGGACATTCAATGTCCTAAATCCTTGATCAAACTACGCTATACACTTAATGGACAGTCCAAGACTGTTAACCTCATTCGCATAACACATTTTTGGTCAAACCAGAAAATAATTGAATGCTACAACAAGATAGAGATAACATTTTCATTTCAACCTTTATCACAAAACTTTATCGCTCTTCTATCGTTTTCTCATTTAATTAGTCAATTACAATTCTGTGATCTTTTCACATCGACATTTAATTACTTTTGACCAACGAAACTTTTATCCAATCAATTTGCTTCATTTTTCTCGCTTCAATCTTTCACTTTCACTTCAAACTGATTGTTCAACAGAAGGAGAAGAAAAGGAAAAAAAATTTACCCCGAATTTCATGCTAAATGGAAATAGCTGAATGAAATTGAAATCATTTTCAAGCTCATTGATTATCCAATCAACTTATGAATTTATCTCGACATTCAATAACAATTAACTTACAATTTTTCATACTCGATAGAATGCCATGAAACATTGGAAATATTTAGTTGAACGTTTCAATGAGTAAATCTTATTGATCAAACTAATTTTCCGTGTTGGCTTATTGATTGTTGCTGAGAATGTATTATGTTTGAGATTCTTTACTTACCTGTAAGCCATATCATCATCTTCACCTCCCCAGCCCCAGTAAAGATTAGAGTAACCGTTTACCAGAACAAAATGGGCTTTGGTTATGGCAAAAACACCTCCAACCAGATATGAATAGGGAAGTCTGTAGAAGAAGAAAATTAAATGTTTACTTTTGCTTTTCATTGCATTTTTATAGCAATCAATCACATTGGAAAGGCTAAATTGATTGAAATTGATAACTTTAACAATTTCAATATTAAACAATCAATCATGACTGGATAATCAATAAATGCTTTCCGCTAAAAGTGCATTCAACTGGCAAGTAACTATCGAAATATGGATTTTTATGTTTTTGATTCTTAGTCCAACCCTAAACTTTGCATTGATTTGCTTCAAAAGATTCCTTTCCCAATTAGCAAATGTCTTAATAACGCAAAAAGCAACAAAATGATCCAACGATAAATGTGACCTTGTCACAGTGTCAATGTAATAAAAGTCAGACAGAGAAAAAGGATAGAAAAGAAAAGTCGAGGAATCACTTGACCTCTTGGAGTTGAGTGGACAATGCAACCTTTCCTGTTTGAAGGACTAAAAGTAGTTTCCGTTCAACTCTCGAATAATTTGAGGCTTTAGTCTTGTAATTACTAGCATTGTACTTACGTATAGTTGAATTTATCGACGGCTACAGACATGTGTCGAGGTTCGGATGGACAAGAGTAAAGATTACGATCATCTTCAGGAATCAGGTCAACATCGTGAAAGATGAAACAATGATAATCGTTGTCTTTTAAGGCTTCCTTAACACCAGCATTCATCAGAACGCCTTTATTGAACGTTTCATTTCCCGACTGATCAAGTTTTTGGTGCATTTAACAATTAGAAAAGAAAAATGAAATTAATGAAATTTTTTTAATCAAACTGCAATTCATTTCTAGAGTCAACATTGCAACATTTGAAACAATTGAAAATGATTGTTGTTTTAATAGCTTTGACTCAATTTCAACTCAAGGCAAGTTGATATTAATTGTAAAATGTCAAGAAAAGTTGTTGTTTGAAAGGAAAAATGAAATTACTTTTCTTTGCATTCTGTTAATTGAATTGTTCAACAGCAACATTTCATTATTAAATGATTAATTGCGCCTTCAATTGTCTTTCAACTTGCAACACTATTAAATTGTTGTCTTGAATAAACACATAAACAGAGATTTGAAACTTTCTTTCATTAAACCATTAAAGATCACATGAACATCAACTGCCATTCATCAAGAGTAAAACAAAAAGATTTTCCAATTTCGTCTCATTGGATTTCATTATAAAGTGATTGTCAAGTTACCTGTTCAATAACATAAACTTTATAACTCAGCATTTGCCGTTGAAGGATAGGATGAAGATGATGTAAAAGTATACGAAGATGTTGAAGACGATCACGATAAGGAATTATAATGGCCACTCGGTGACGAGGATAACAGTCGGCCGGTTCCCATGATCCACCCAACTCTAGATTCGAATGCCAATCTGATTCTTCTTTCATCCAGGAATCGCTGGAAACATCAAGATCAATTCTTGTTCGACCAACTGGTCAAAGAGAAAAAGGAAGAAAAAAAAGTTCAACTGATTAATCAAGTTCAACATTTTGATTCCATTAGAAGATCATTATCATGAGCTTATTCAAAATTGTTATCACTTAAAGTGGATAGAATTTTTGATTTCAATTCGATATCAATTGTGATATTTTGCATCTTTTGGACAAGTTTTATCTCCAACTTTATCTCAACTCTTTTGGGTGTTTCATGATATTGGATTTTAAATTGCATTTCAACGAACAGAATGATAACTCAAAAAGACACTTTTTATTGCATTCTTTGACTTTTCTCTCTTTTCCCATTATCGTGTTTTCCAACATTAAACTTGGTCTTGTCCAGCAAGATAATTTGTCACATTTACTTTCATTAAATATTTATCAGATAATTTGTTCAACATGATGTATTGAAGTCAAGAATGCTGGATAATGGTGGTCATGAAAAGAGTCAAATTAAATGTTGAAATTGTGTTTAGCAAATTAATTGAACCATTATCAAGTAAATTACCGTTTAACGACAAATTTATCTCTTTACATTTGCAACAATATTTTCAATTGAATTTTCACTCTTCATGAGTCAATGGTTGGAATCTGATGAAAAGATTTCTTGTCAATAATGATGATTAAATGTTTGATGAATGATGAATCAAACAAACTTGTCAAACGTTTGTTTTCATTCTGTCTTGATGGTAAACAAAAAAGTGACATAAAAAATGGGAAACCAAATGATGGCATTTCATCAATTCAGTTTAATGTTTCAACTGAAAACATTTGTGATAAAAGTTGATACAAGAAAGGGCCAGATAAATTGGTGAATCAGTCAACTGAATAAGAGTCATTTGATGAGTGATAAAGTCAAATAGGAATCAAGAGAGGAACCATCAACACAAACAAGCAGAATAATGAAATTGTCCGAGCAATTTAGATATTAAAAGCTTAACCATGTTACTGGAAGAAGAAGAAGAAGAAAAATCAAATAAAATTGTGGTTCAACAAAAAAAATGCTTCAATTGGGATTTGATATTCTTTATCAACATTTTTAATTTAAAATTGAAAAGCCAAGAGACTAAAGGAAAAGCCAAATTGATTAAATTGTCTTCGAGCTTTTGCTTTCATAAGTTGCATCAAAATTAATGAAACTACGTTTTTTTACTCGCCTTAAGGTTAGATTTAATCTGGTTTATAATGAAAAATTGAATGCAAATGAAAAGATCAGCAAATGCAGATTTCAGCCAAATTTTCATGTTCTTTTCAAACTGTTTCGATAAGCAGCTTGAGTTTACATAGTTTGTCTCTCAGTGATTACATAGAATGTCGATAAAATTGATTCAATTTTTTCGTCAATCTTCTTGGTGATTCATCTCTTGATTGAATATTTTTCATTGAAATGAGTAATGAAATGTTGGTTCACGATTATGATGGAAAAGGTGAGAAAAAATTGAGATTCATTTTTTTCGCTTCTCTTTTGCTTCTCAATCTTTTATCTTGCCAATGAACTCAAAGTTTGTCTCTGATGAAATGAGTTGAGACGAGGAAAAAAAATAATGTTTAGCGATCATGAGATGATGATGGATCAAAGAGATGATAATAAGAGGATGAAACGAGTTGGAAAAATGGAACCAAAGAAATGATGATGATGATGAGCTAAGTGAACAAAGTGTTTCCATGAGACGCGTATCAAGAGGATAAAAGATGATGAAAAATGATTTACTTTCAAGTTTGAGGCAAAGTCGAAGAGAGAACAATAAAGTGACATTAAAAACAATCAATTATTGGATAATCAAATCAATCAATTGTTATTGTCTTAGTTGAATCTCTTTTTTCACCATCATTTATGTTTTCGTATGAAAAGAATCATTAAACTAAAGATTATTCAATAAAGTTTAATTTGTTCACAGACTATCATCTAGAAAGATAATCCAATAAAGTTCATCATCATGTTCATCATGTTCAACACTCATGGAAATGTATTCCAGTTTTGGGTAAAAGTAAATTCCTTTAGACTGAATAATTTTGATGAGATTTTCATCTTGAAGGTGAAGAGAGAAAAAAAAGTTTCAAGAAAATGATAAAACGATCAAAAGATGTTAAAGATGAAGGACAATGTTGCCATGTTGAGTTGCTTCTTCTGATTGTATAGATAAGTAAAGGAGTTCAAGAATTTCAATGTCGTGATTTGCATCATCTTACAGGTTTAAACTTAAGTAAAACTGCATCACCATGAAAACTCAACTTCATCCTTTTATCATTTTACTCAAGTAGTAGAACAAGATTGACATAGAAACGATGTAAATGAAATTATGTAAAAGACTCAAATGTGAGGTTCATTTGGTTGGGAAAAGTTACTCTTGTGACTTCAAAATGAGCAAAGTTTCACAAAACTAAAAGAAAAGTACGAATTTTCTCATCACCGAAGTTTCGTTATCAAACGAAATAAAGTCCAACCGATGACAGAAGTTGGATTGAAGACAGAAAAGTATTCGATAGACCTTCTTTTCAACAATCAATTTCGATGAGATCATGCATTTTGACTGCTAGACGACGATGAAGATTACGTGGAAAAGGTCTAAATGGGTTTACCATTTCAGGGTCGAGGTTGGTGTCTGCCGGTTGAAAGATTGATGTTTGATCGCTCAATACTTATTAACACATAAACTTGACTCGAAGACTGCAAATTACGAATATTTTGGTCACCGAAAGTTTCGTTATCGGACGAAGTAAATCCCAATTTTATGACAAAAAGATGATTGAAGACAGAATATATTCGACATGGATTTCTCTTCAACAATCACAGTTTATCTTCTTCGATCATTTTATCATGAATTTTGACTGGTAGATGAAAATAAAGATTATGTGGAAAGGTCTACTTGTGTTTACTATTTCATGGGTCGAGGTTGGTGTCTGCCGTTTGAAGTTTGAAGTTTGATCACTCAATTCTCATTAACACAAACTTGACTCGAAGACTGAAAGGACAGGAAATTCAACATGTAAATCCAATTATCGTGAAACAAGATTCAATTTGTTCATGAAGATTTTCCTAATTAATTGCGTTTTTCCAATGAAAATTTTTGTTGAAACTCATTAGTTAATTTGGTTTAAACTTTTTTTCCTGCGAATTTAAAATTGAAAAATAAAACAATTTAAAAGCTGTTTGTTTCCCTTCACTGAGCAATCATAATTTTACAAATTATCCAATCATCCATTAATCTTGCGATCGGGGAAAATAGGAAAAAAAAGATTCCTTACACAGTCAAATGCAGAATTTTTTATCAACATTTTTATCAATACTTGCTGGGAGTTTTACTTGCAACTTTGCCTCGGGCAAATCTTTACATTTGAATACAAATGAAAAGATTATTTTTATCGGTTCATAATAATAAATTGTTCAACCTTCAACATGAACTTATCTGATTGTGCTCAATATATTGAACAAATTTATTGGTACAAAATTGGACGAAAAAACTTGCAAGTCAATATCAATAAGAGAAGAATGTTGAAAAGATTTTTTTCACTTTTCCATATTGAAAGTGAACATTTACATTCGCATAATGATACGATTATTTAATCATTTCAACTTTCATTTCATCTCATCATGAACTGAGATTATGTTGAAATAATGGGTTCACCATGAGCTACTCATGTTAATGAATAGATTTGAAGGTGACAAAAAAATCATTTGATAAGCTTGTAAATGATGAAGAGTTTCAAGTTGGTGAAAAAGTGAATCCAAAGTTGAAGGAAAAGCAAAGTTGATAACAATTTTAATAGAAGCCTAAAAAAAGTTCATTCCCTGTTCATCAATTTCACCAGTTTCCAGTGCAAACAGAAGCTACTCTGACATAATCATTGACGACTTTATTAAGAAAATAATTTTACATTTAAAGTGATTAAATTTTTGGGCTGAAAAAAGCAATTCCATGTTGCATTAGTTAAATTGTTGCGATGAAAAGTTGAAGACAAAAAGTGAATTGAAAAGAATGAAAATTGAGAATTGAAATGGAAAGGGTAAAATTGTTCATTTTTATTGATATTTATTGACCATTATCACATTAGACTGGCACAGAATGCCATTTAAACTGAATCTTTTATTAGCAGCATCACGATAAGCTAGCAATTTAGTGTTAATCTTGATTTACTTTTCATCATCACAACAAAAGTAATAAGTGGAAAGAGTGAGAAAAGACAAATAAAAGTACAAAATCGATTGAAGTAAACAATAACAATCACAGTTTACTTAATAATACATAATGTATCATCATTTTACCAACAGTTTATGGACATCATTATCAATATTTTTATGGTTATAAGCACTATTTTATAGACATTGAGTAGCTTTCCAAAGGTCAGTAATGAGTTGATCTTTTTCAACTTTAATATCAATTTGATTCATTATTTTCAACTTTACTGCAAAATTTTGAACCAATTTTTTGTTCAACTGTAATCGAGTTTGAAATCTCAGTTTTTGGAAAAGACTGATTTCGAGACTGATTAGGAAAACATTTAGTTGCAATTAATGTTTACCAAGTGTAAGAAAGTTTCTTTGAGATTATTGTGTGAATTGAAATGTGTCGAGATCGCGATCCTGTTAGACAAATGAAAATATTTGATGAGTTGTGATGAGAACAAGTTTGGATGAAATGAGGAAAATTTGGTGTAAAGTTGAAAGGTTGTTGTTGATGTTGTTGGTGATGATGATGTTGTATTGAAAGATGTTCAAATAATGGAGCTTTGGGTGGCTTAAAAAGGTAAATGCATAAATAAAAGAGGAAAAAGTGACATGCTTTTCTTGTTCAATTCATGTTTTCTTACCTGTCGTTTCATTTCAACTTGTATAATATATGTACAGCTGTGTTCAGGGGAAAGGAAAGAGCAACAACAGCAAATAAAAAAGTGTATACAGATTGACTGTTTTGGCTTTGCTTTTGTTACTTGTTTCAGTTCGTCTTTTCTCACTTCAATTTGAGCTACTTTTTTGTTCAACTCAATCATTTTGCAG